AATGTTGAGCTTTAAGCCAGCTTTTTCATTTTCCTCTTTCACCTTCATCAAGAGGCTCTTCACTCTCTAAAATTCCTCCTTGTTTTCTGCCTTAAGGCCTGTGTCATCTGTGTATCTGAGGTTATTGATATTTCTCCTTGCAATCTTGATTCCAGCTTGTGCTTCATCCAGCCCTACATTTCGCATGATATACTCTGCATCTAGGTTAAATAAGCAGGGTGACAATACGTAGCCTTGACGTACTAATTTCCCCATTTTGAGCCAGTCTGTTGTTCCATGTCCTGTTTTAACTGTTGCTTCTTGATCTGCATACAGGTTTTTCAGGAGAGAGGTCAGGTGGTCTGGCATTCCCATTTTTTAAAGAATTTTCCAGTTTGTTTTATCCATACCGTCAAAGCCTTTACTAAGTCAATGAAGCAGATTTTTTTCTGGAATTCTCTTGCTTTTCCTATGATTCAACAGATTTTGGCAATTCGATCTCTGGTTCCTCTCCCTTTTCTAAATCCAGCTTGAACATCTGGAAGTTCTTGGTTCATATTTTGTTGAAGCCTACCTTGGAGAATTTTGAGCATTACTTTGCTAGCGTGGGAAATGAGGGCAAATTTGTTGTAGTTTGAACATTCTTTGGCATTGCCTTTCTTTGGGATTGGAATGAAAACTGACCTTTTCCAGTCCTGTGGTCACTGCTGAGTTTTTCAAATTTGCTGGCCTATTTAGTGCTGCAAAACTCCGTTAGCCTTTGCCCTACTTCGTTTTGACTCTGAGGCCAAACTTGCCTGTTACTCCAGGTATCTCCTGGCTTCCCTCCCAGTTCTCTTACACTGTAGGCAGATTTTTTTATCATGTGAGCCACAGACAAGTCCTGTTTTAAGTATTTCACTATTTGTCAACCATTACCAGCTATTATTATGGGTTGAATTGTATCTTCACATAAAGGTATGTTGAAGTCCAAATCCACAGTTCCTATGTAATGTGAACTTATTTAAAATAGGGTCTTTGTAGATGTAATCGAATTAACATCAGGTCATTAGTGCATGCCTGCTAAGTTGCTTCAGCCATGTCCAACTCTGTGTGACCCTATGGACTGTAGTCTGCCAGTCTCCTCTGTCCATGAAATTCTCCAGGCAAGAAAACTCAAGTGGGTGGCCAGGCCCTCTTCCAGGGGATCTTCCTGATCCGGGAATCTAACTCGCATCTCTTGAGTTGGCAGACAGGTTTTTTACCTCGAGCACCACCTGGGAAGCCCCCAGGTCATTAGGCCCTGATTCAGATGACCAGTGTCCCTATACGAAGAGGGAAATTCAGACACAGACACACACAAGGAGGAGGACAGACAGCCATATCAGGACAGAAACAGATAAAGGTGAAGCCATGTGACCACAAAGGTAGAGATTAAAGTAATGCAGTTGCAAGCTCAGCCACACTATGGATTAATGGCCACCAATAGAAACTAACAGATAAGGAAGGATTTCTGCCTTACAGGTTTCAGAGGAAGTATGGCCTTGCTAACACCTTGATTTTGGCCTCTTGTCTCCAGATCTGTTGAGAGCATGTTTCTGTTCTTTTAAGTCATCCAGTTTGTGGTACTCTGCAATAGCAGTGCTAGGAAACTAACATGTAATTAAGTATTTTAATATTAGAATACATGTTACACATTTTAATAAACCCTAATGCTGCTACTGCTGCTAAGTCACTTCAGTCGTGTCCGACTCTGTGCGACCCCATAGATGTCAGCCCACCAGGCTCCCCCATCTCTGGGATTCTCCAGGAAAGAACACTGGTGTGGGTTGCCATTTCCTTCTTCAATGCATGAAAGTGAAAAGTGAAAGTGAAGTCGCTCAGTGGTGTCCGACTCTTCGTGACCCCATGAACCGCAGCCTAACAGGCTCCTCCATCCATGGGATTTTCCAGGCAAGAGTACTGCAGTGGGTTGTCATTGCCTACTCCGTTAATAAACCCTAGAGAAAGCTAAATGGTTTGATCAGTTTATGAATTAAACTGATGTAATATCTCACTTGGATACAATCACTAGCTAGTGATAAATATAGGACTCAGATAGAAGAAATACATTTTGGGGACTTAAAATATCACTAATAAAATATATAACAGAAATATTCCAATATAAATGAGAAGTTTTCTACTTCATGACAGTGGTACAGATATGACTCTGTAAGAATTTCTAGTGAAGAAGAGACCAAATTTACTATTTCTATTGACTAGAGATGCTTCCTGGAAGAGGCAGCACTTTGAACTGAGCTTAGGATGCCATAGATTTGAATATACAAACCTGGAGGGAAGAACTTGAAGGAACCATGTGAAGAACTACAGAGGCAGAAAGCCACATGTGAGTGGGCTGTTAAACACTAGGCTCTGGAGTCTAGTCTAACTATCTTTGGCAGTGTCAAGTGCCCTGAGCAAAGTTTTGATGTTGAAACCATGTTTTTCCATTACTTTCTCATGGGCTCAGCCTCTGAGGGAGCAGGAAGGGTTTCTATAAACTGTATCTTCAAAGCAGAGATGATAAGAATAAAACAAAAGGCAAACAATCAAGGAGTCAAATTCTTGATTCCCTAAATATCTGTAAACCTGTGGTGGAGACGATGTTTTAAAAAGACTGGACTTTTAACTGTAAGAAATTTGTGCCTTTTTCTTTCACTTTTGGAAGCTCCATTTAATTATGAAGGACTAGCGCCTGCTGGAATTGGAGCCAAGAACTGATATCTTAGAGTAGAAAAAGGAGGTTTAGACTGATTAGCTTATGGGAAGAGAGATCACAAAGGAATGTAGCTGGACCTTAGAAACAATGGTTCTCAGGGAAGTGCCCATCCCTTGATTTTTGAACCAAGCCCCAGAGAGTAGACTAGACAAATCCCCAGATATGAGAAGAAAAGACTAGCTGCTTGGCTTCCCACAGTATAATGTAGAATTCTGCAAGTCTTATGGGAAAACCCAATGCCCAGTTTGCACCCAGGATTAGACTAGCTGTGATTGAAGGAGTTTTAAATCAGTATGAGGTCAACTACACAAAATCATGAACTCCAGAAGAGTGTGGGAAGATAACCAACATTTCTGAGCAACGAGTCCCCAGCAAATGTTCAGAATTTTTAGCAGGATCAAGGTACCAGAAGAAGACTTGTGTTTAGGACAAAGAGGATGTGGATAACATGGTTCTGACAATGAAAACAGACATGAACTGGGTCCTTTAAGGTAATAGAGTAGTGAGGGCCAGAGGAACATGAACTACATTTCCATGTGAACCAGAGGAGCCAGGGACTGGCATAAGGACCAGATGCCTCGCTTCTAATGCTGGGATGACACATAACTCCACCCTAGGACTGTGATGACTCTGGGAGAAATTAAGGCGAACCACGCCTGTGTATGTTTGTGTGTGCATGCTGATGGTGGTGGTGTGTGTGAGAGGTGAAATTCTGAGACTATTAAAACAGAAGTAATTTAATTACCATGAATTGGTAGAGTTAAACATTTTAACTATCCATAGAATGGGGATCTCAGTAACAATAATTGCAGTTAAAAATAAAGTTGTATTTTACACATCTGATTTTGGGAACTTTTTACTATTTAGTTTGTATTTACCAAAAAAGAAGTTGATGCAGAGGGTGTAATGAATGAAAATATGCCCAAGATCCTATATTTAAGCCAGGATTGATTAATGGTAAAAAGTTACAGTATTAAAATACCAAGTTGCTGCCAGATTTAGGCTAAATACTTTCATATTAATCTTCTCCTATATGCTTCAGGCAGCTTTATTCTTATTGGTCAGATGAAGGGAACTGAAACTCTTTCATATTTAATAATCTATCTGACATAATATAGTCAGAGTTGATAATAGAACTTGTGTTGGTCTGAGAATCAAGTTCATCACATCCTGCTTTATTTTAGTCAGAGCATGCTTCATATTGTTCAAACTAAACTTTTTATAAGACAATAGCTGTAGTTAGAGGTGAGCTGTATTTTGAGTTTCCTCTGCTGGAGTGTTTACTGCTTTTCAATTTCAGTCACTGTGATTATATTAATATATAACATATATATTATGTTAATATGTAACATATAACATATATCTCTCCTTGGTCTTTCTTTGCTTATCCTCTGGCTTTCTCTCTTTGCATACAAGTTAGCCTAAAGCATTAGGTTCAAGAACAATGGAAATGAATTCTTTTTAATGGCTGAGTAATATCCCATTGTGTATATGTACCACAGCTTCCTTATCCATTCATCTGCTGATGGGCATCTAGGTTGCTTCCATGTCCTGGCTATTATAAACAGTGCTGCGATGAACATTGGGGTGCACGTGTCTCTTTCAGATCTGGTTTCCTTNTGTAAATCCATGGCTGATTCATGTCAATGTATGACAAAAATCACTACAATATTGTGAAGTAATTAGCCTCCAACTAATAAATGAAAAAAAAAGAACAATGGAAAATGATAGGTCTCTACTTATAATTTCTTACCACTGTTTTCATCATACAAATAAAGAGCTCCTTGACAGAAGGTGAAAATGTACACTTGATCTATAATATATTATTGAACCGATTTGGTTCTTAAATATATTCCAGTATCTAAATTTAAAGACTGACCACATTATCCCAGAAATGGAATCTGGTTTTACCTATAAAAATAAGCAGTTAATCTCAATCCATTTTTGCTGCCGTGGTCTGTCTCACTGCTGATGTCAAAATTTAACTAATTCAAGAAAAGATTTTGATGATTCTTTTAAAATCATAAGGTGATTTTGAGTTGGAAACAATGAACATGCTTAATATTAATAATTATGTGATTTACTCAAACAAAATCCATTAGTATTAATTGAAAAATAACTGAAATATCACACTCCCTAAATCATGTTTCCTGTGAGTTCTTATCATTTTTGACTATAAACAGTTGTATATGTCCATGGCATATTTAGACTATGTATTAAATTCAGTGGGTGCTTGAGTAAAGTTCAAAATATTATAATAAGATACTGTATAATTTTCTTGGGATAAAAATGTGAGTTAGAAGTGAATAATTAATGTTATTACTACTAATATAATAGTTTTAGATTAACATTGTGAAAAATGGAATCAGGGCAAATTTTCTCACATTATACCTATTATGATAAAATATGAATAATTTTATATTTTAGAACAGAATTATTTATATTAATATACATGCTTCTACTATCCATGCTTCTAACCAAGAATGGCTTTTGTTCTTGGTTAGTAAAGAACACACATTTTAAAGTGACTTATATGGTTATTTTTTCCTATTCAGAAATATAAAACACTTGGTGAAAATTATGGAGGATAATTTGGAACCACATACCCATTAAGGCTAAGTCTAGCTGGCTCAACTTAGCACAGCTGAAACACTGATTTGAATACTTTTTCAAAAACTTTTTGTGTCTAATTTTTCAGTCTTAATATTTCCTTTGCTCAGGTTCTGTATTTGATGAATATATAGGAGGAATATCTATTTTTATATTTATGTAGTCTTAGATCATATCTTAGAATTCTTAATTTTTCAAATTCCTGCAAGTTTTTTTAAAATAAGCATTTTGATACTTAAGGTGAATATTAAAATCTAAACTTACATTTTGGTATTAATGCTAATATCAGTATATTTCAAACTTGGAGAAAGTTAATTTAATATACTTTTGTCTAGAAATGTATGAATATTCAAAACTCTATTCCCTGTTTTTTAAAATTATCTGATCTTTATTCCCAGGGCTGAAGTTTGCAAGGCTTCTTGCTAGATAAGTGACCCCAGCAGGCACAGTTCCAAGGAGCAAGGTGAGTCATATTTGGGACCTTTGGTCATTACCAGGGTAGTAATGTTTATTGTTAGATATGAAAGCTGAGTATAGAACAACTAATAGTACGTGAAGTGAATGATAAAAAATGAAGTTGACTAGAAGGTTTAGGAACTCAAGAGTAAAGAAAATACCAGGACTTGTCCATGAACAAGGTAAGGTGGTCAAGACTTTTCTTTTCTCAGTGGATTATGATTTTGAAGCAAGAGTCCATGTCAACCAGGTTATAGGTAGTATTAGAATAGAAAAATTATTGGAGAAAAATGATCTTCAAAAGGTTTTAAGTGGCCTCAGATTCTATATTGATAACTGACCATTTAAAAAAATGTTTGTATTACTGTTCTGTGTGGATCATGATTCTCTTCTCTCAAATGAGAAACTTTGGAACTATGTTGTTCCTTTGCAGAAGTTTCTAGAATGACAAAAGACAGTTATAAAAGAGGAACTGAGAAGTATTTACTATGCTTTCCACAGGTAAGTTTGCTCATGGACACTTAATAGTTTGTTTCATTTGGAGGAAGCAAAATCTTCTAAGATGGTCACTTATGAATTATTCTTGTAATTTGTAAGGCAAATAATTCTGATTTCTGAGAACAGACCTGGATGTGAAGAGTGGCAGATTGTTGAAATTGATTAACTGGAAATTAGAGAATATGTCCTTAGCTGCTGGGATGAGTTCAAATTATATAAAATAAGTTAGGAAACCAAACAAATGTATTTTTTATTCTATTTATTCTTATAACAGTAAGTACACTGATATTATTGACCACAATGTATACCATATTTTGGGCTATTCATAATATGCTTAATTGACACCTGAATATTTCAAATGACCACACTACAAAATTTAATACTGTAAAAGAATATCTTTTAAAAATAGAAATTAGTTTTTTTAATTAAAATATACCTAATTTATAGGAATAACTGATGCTTTAAGAAATGATTATTTTATTTACTCTGTTAATAAAAAGTACATTTACAATTAAGACATATTCAAATTCCCATAATGTGTAATTTTTATCTCTTCAAGGAATGTTTATTACTAATATTTACTACAGTTCATTTCTTCAGCAAACATAAATTGTAGGATATAAACATACGGCCACCCTAGAAAGATACTTTTCCTTAATTTATTAGGAGAGATTTTTCTGTGCCCATACTAATCCTTGTTTCATATTGGCACTTTCAGATCTCAGAAGCAATGTTCTGAAATTTATTTTTAATTGTATCCACTTCATTATTCAGCATTACTTGAGCAGCAGTAGTCTTTGGAACAATCGTGATATATTGGTATTATAAAAGCAAACAATAGAAGACCTTTGATCCAAGGAGCTCATAGAATAGTAGGCTATCATGACCTCTCTCTTAACAGCTCTGATGCCACCTTCACATTAACACATAACATTTGAGTGTTAAATGCTTTAAATGTAGTAGCTCATATTTCTAATAACAAATCAGAAATGTGACTCTTTTAAAGTGATCCTAGTTTTATAGATTAGAAAAGTGGGCCACAGAAAGAGTAGAGTAATTAGCTTCGAGGCATACAAGTAATATCAGAGCCAATATTTGAACAAGGGCAGTCTATGCCAATGTCTATGGCTTAACCCACTATATAAGAGAAGAAAATACACAGATGTTATTGGAGCATAGGGAAAACCCATGCCAATCTGATTCAGGAAAATCGTTACAGTGAAGATTCAGTTTAGTTTTGAAGAGGGGACAGAAAGAAGAGCTCTTTGAACAGTGGGGACACCCTCTGTGATAATGTGAAGAATATACTCTATGTGTTTGAGAATGGCAAGAAGTTCTGGGGGCTTGATTAGAAGTGTTCATGTGAGGAAGTGGCAATAAACAGAGCTAGGATTTTGGGGCAAGTATCACAACATGATGACAGTCTAAGAAATCTGAACTTTATTCTGAAAGCTAGGGGGGAGCTATTGAAACATTTCAAGGGTTTTTAACCAAGCCAGCGATATGAACATACTCGCCTTTTAGAAAGTTCATCTTGGCAACAGTCTGGAAGAGAAGAAAGGCTAGTTAGGAAAAAAAGTGAAGTATTTGGGCAAAAGCTGATAAAAACCCAAACATAAGTATTGATAAGGGAAAGAAAAGGAGACAAAGATAAAGGATGTCTAGTCTTAGTATTTAAAATGGCTATCATTTTATAAGCAGTTTACAGTAATCTCTCTAATTTCTAAAATAGCTCTCTGCAAAAGATTTTATTCATGGTGTTTTATAATGAAGTAATAAGGGCTTAGAGATGCTTAGTAGCTTATTCAGAGTTTAGAGTTAGTCACTGATAAATTTGGGATTCAGATCCATGGCTTAAATTCCTTCTAGTCTAAGATGCTGCTTGCTATGAAAGTCTTCATGTTTGCTTTGAAATCTGCAAAGTTTGTTCTTAGAGTACAATAGTAAATTAGACATATCAATCTAGCTTAACACTCATGTTTCTGATCTGGGTATGAGTTTTTGTGTCATTTCACCAAAATGTAGAGGAAGAACATCCTAATACAATTTTCTCAAAAAAGATGTATATGATAGCTGCATTCCTTTATTATCTTTTACTTCTCAAACTGATCTGGCATCAAGCATGTCTCTATCAAAACAGCTACTGATAAGATCAGTAATCACATTCCTGTCTCTAAATTCAAAGAATATTTTTTATACCCTTCTTACTGTGCTGCTCAGTAACATTCACCTCTATCGTCTACTTTCTTGCATTGCAAAATTCTCATCTTTTGAATTTCTTGCAATAGCACCCTTTGGTTTTCTTCCTACCTCACTATGTTTGTTCTCAGGCTCATTACTATAGGCCATTAAGTTCTGATGTTACACTTAGTGGTAGAATCCTATTCTCATCTCTTATGTTTTCATTCACTTTTATGACTTCAATCATTATTAGCTATACAGAGAGAACAGATGCACTTACCTGGCCCCTTCTCTGATATCCCTTCTTGGCAACCTATAAAGCACCTCAAATAGAAGGTATGAAAAATAATAAACTCATGGTATTCTCCCTCAGTTCTCTTCCTTTCTCAGCTTTCCTGATCTCTGTGAATGGCACTCTAATCCTTTTATTTTTACAAGGAAATAACAATGCTCACCTTGGACATAGCATTCTTCCTCATCTTCCATAACTGACGCATTACTAAGTCCTGTCAGCCACATTTCCTAAATATTCCTCATATTATTTTTTCATGTGCATGGCCAACACAACATTTCCTTCTGTACTTATTGCAATCTTGGGATTCTCAATAGCTAATTTCCCCAAACTTCTCTGAACTTTTCTTTAATCAGTTGTCCATACTTTATTGCAGAGTGATCTGTCAGAACACATTCCTGATCATGTTCCTCATCTGCTAACTACCCTTTAATGATGCATGTTGCTTTCAGGAGAAAAAGCAGGATTCTCACCTTGGCCTTAATACCCTGTGTGATGTAACCTTGAGCACTGCTCTGCCTTCATTGTCTGCCAACTTCCTCATGCAGCGCCACTGGGCTTCTTCCCATCCTTCATACTCACTATTGCTCCTTTTCCCTACTCTTAACTAGGTATTTTCTGCTGCCTTCTACCCTTAACTAGATATTTTCTACTCATCCTACAACTTTGAGTTCACACATCACTCCCTCTAGGAATTTTTCTCTGACCTCCTTATGTTATATCCCTCTATGAGGGGCCTTAGAATCTGAAGGGAAGGTCAGAAGAAGTTTTGTATCTGTTGTAAATTTCATTACCCAAATTTAATATACACAGTTAATATAAAATGCCGAGTGGATTAGAACACTTGACAGAACACAGATTTACAGACTTTTCTTGAACACATCATCTTTTAAATCTAAAAAAATATATGCTGCTTTTCTCCTTGCTTTTTTTGATGGATTGCTGTGTCAAATTTACCAACACAGTGGTGTGTGGAAGGCTGTGTGTATGATAATGTGTGCATATCATTCTGTGAGTTAGATCAGTGACAGAAAAAATATCAGAAGGCAGAGGTAGTAGAAATGAGAGGGAAGATACTTGAAGAAGGATACATTTATGTGGAGGGGACTTGGAAAAGATCAGCTAGGGCAACCAGGGAGGAAAAAGACACAAAGACAAATGATGTTGAAGTTATAAGAAGGACAATAACTCCAACCTCAGCCAATCTGAAATAAAACATTTTAAGCCTGTTGGACTAGATACACAATTTATCCCAAATATATCAGAGCTTGATGTGGGGTGGAGAGACGTCTTCCTAGGCAATGTTTCTTTGATGCCCTGCCCTATGACTTTGAATTGCCTAGCCAGCTTCAAAGGAATGGCCTAAACTTGCTCTCATTCTCTTTGTATTAATTCAAATTTCTACTATGGTTTTCATAAGCAAAAATGCTTTTCTTTGTCCTGCCAAAACTTTTAGAAACAATAAACACAACTAGACATCTCCCTCAAAACTCAGACAGAAACAAAATAAACTCCTTTTGCTGAGAACTTTTTTTCCATTCAGGATGAGAATTTTTTCAAGGAGTGTTAAGAGGGGATAAAATACAAGTGTGTGGTGATTCCTGCCCCACACAGAAAGAGATAAAAATATCACAGATAAATGTTTTATTCAAACCTCAACCCAACTTTTATAATTCATGTTATCTAAACTGTGTGGATCATTTTCTGAGGAAACTTAATTTGCTTCCCAATTAAACTAATTTTAATTATTAATGCAGCCCAAACTCAGATGACAACAATGGACTCTTGATCACTGACATAAGCTCATTTGAATTGTAATCAACTTCTAATACCTTGAACTTTGCAAGGCTCTCTGACTGGTTACTCAGCTGGGTTTTCTTCCAGTTATGGAAAATGTAACTCTTGCATTAAAAGGGAGCCAGCTTGTGAGTCCTTTCACTTTTCACTTTCCTGCTTTGGAGAAGGAAATGGCAACCCACTCCAGTGTTCTTGCCTGGAGAATCCCAGGGACGGGGGAGCCTAGTGGGCTGCAGTCTATGGGGTCGCACAGAGTCGGACACGACTGCAGTGACTTAGCAGCAGCAGGAGCAACAGCAGCTTGTGAGTCTGTTTCTGTTTTGTAAATTATTTCTTTCTCTTAAATGGCTGAATAATATTTCACTGTATATATGTACCACATTGTCTTTATCCATTCCTCTGTTGATGGCCCTGTAGGTTGCTTCCAGGTCTTGGCTGTTGCAAATGAGTTTATGGTTGCCAGAGGGGAAGGGAAACAGGAAATCTGAGACCAACATGTACACATTGCTATATTTAAAAAGTGGATAACCAATAAGGTCCTCCTTGTAGCACAGAGAACTCTGCTCAGTGTTATATAGAAGCCTGGATGGAAGGGGAGTTTGCAGGAGAATGGATATATGTATATGTATGGCTGAGTCCCTTTGCTGTCCATCTGAAACTATCACAATATCATTAATCAGCTGTACACCAATATAAAATAAAAAGCTTAAAGTGGAGTGAGAGAGAGCTAGCA